ACTCCTCTTTAGACAGAAATCACACTGGCAAAACTAACTTTTTATAGACAGTGTTTTAAAGAGACAATATCGGATTTAAAACCGTATTTTTAAAAATTCATGTCCTTACCTATGTTAACATTGCATACATTACTAAAACTAGCATCTGTGCTGTTCACACATTTTGTATTTCTCTCAACCTGGACAATGAAAATATATCTGTCATTTCTGTTTCTAGTTAATTTCTCTTTCAGCTTCTTATGCTCTAATACAATGGAAAAGTAGCTGAGAAGCAAGGAATGCAGGGAAAATCTTATTGGTTTAAAAACTTGCTCTGGATTTTAAAAAGATACAGCATAGAAACATTTCTACAGACCTGAGGTTATATGTAAAAGCTTGTTTAAAAAAAAATTTTTTTTTAAACAAAAAATTGGGCTAAACATAAGCTAATCCAGGCCCTTTAAACCTTGCACATTGATTGAGGAACTGAAAGAAGCAAAGTCTTTGGTGGTTTAAACACATTTCCTTTTCTCTACTTCAACTTTTTACTCTGAGATGTATGTCTGGAAGTTATTTTTATAACAGGTGCAGTCTGCATTTGATGCACATCAACGTTCATCTCCACAGTTCTACCTGCAAACTGGCACTAGGAAGCACAGTCGTCTGACATATGAAGAAAATAAAGTTACAAGACAAATAAGCACAAGGCACAAGATCCCATGGGTTTCCCTACCCAGATTCAATTCACACAAACCACAACACCTCCCCGTCAGTGAAGATCAAGATACTGATTGAACTAGTAGCCTGTGGAAAGGGATGCTGTGCTAACTGGAAAAAAAAAATCTGATGAATATAAAACTATCCATTTTCTTGAGTCTTATACACGATCCTCCCCTGTAGGGTTCCCACTTTTGTGAAAATATTCAGTCAGTGGGTTCCTCTATGGAGATTTTTGTCAGTATACCTGATGGGTTCGAATTGTAACGTCCAAAAAGCAAAGTGAACCTACCTATTGCTTCTTCATAAAAGGAACAATGGTCTGAACACAAAACCCATCATGATTTTTAAGTTATTTTAATTGAGATTTTCACTGTCCAGTTCGGGGCACCACACCTTAGGGAAGATGTGGATAAACTGGAGAGACTCCAGAGGAGAGCAACAAAAATGATGATAGGTTTAGAAAACCTGACCTATGATGAAAGGTTAGAAAAACTGGACATGTTTAGTCGTGAGAAAAGAAGATTGAGGGGGAACCTGATAAGCTTCAAGTATGTTAAGGGTTGTTCTAAAGAGGACAGTGATCAACTGTTCTCCATGTCCACTGAAGGTATGACAAGTAGTAAACCGTTTAATCTGTAGTAAGGGAGATTTAGGTTAGATATTAGGATAAACTTCTTAACTATACATGTAGTTATATTATGGAATAGGCTTCCAAGGGCCGTTGTGGAATCCCCATCATTGGAGGTTTTTAAGAACAGGTTGGACAGACACCTGGTAGGGATGGTGTCATAACTATAAAGGGAAGGGTAACAACCCTCCTGTGTACAATACTATAATCCCTCCTGGCCAGAGACACCAAAATCCTTTTACCTGTAAAGGGTTAAGAAGCTCAGGTAACCTGGCTGACACCTGACCCAAAGGACCAATAAGAGGACAAGATACTTTCAAATCTTGGTGGGGGGAAGGCTTTTGTTTGTGCTCTTTGTTTTGGGGGTTGTTCGCTCTTGGGACTACGGGGGACTAGACATCAATCCATGTTCTCCAAATCTTTCTGAACAAGTCTCTCATATTTCAAACTTGTAAGTAACAGCCAGGCAAGGTGTGTTAGTTTTAGCTTTGTTTCCTCAACTTGTAAATGTTCCTTTTGCTAGAGTGTTTACCTCTGTTTGCTGTAACTTTGAACCTAAGGCTAGAGCGGGTTCCTCTGGGCTCTTTGAATCTGATTCCCCTGTAAAGTTATTTTCCATCCTGATTTTACAGAGATGATTTTTACCTCTTTCTTTCTTTAATTAAAAGCCTTCTTTTTAAGAACCTAATTGATTTTTCCTTGTTTTAAGATCCAAGGGGGTTGGATCTGGACTCACCAGGAATTGGTGGGGGAAAGGAGGGGGAATGGTTATTTTCTCCTTGTTTTAAGATCTAAGGGTTTGGATCGGTGTTCACCAGGAAATTGGTGGAGAAGTCTCTCAAGGCTACCCAGGGAAGGGTTATAGTACTTGGGAGGGAGATATTCTGGGGTGGGAGGGAGGTAGACAAGAGTTTCCCAAATGACTCAAATAATTTGGGTGGTGGCAGCAAAACCAGATCTAAGCTGGTAGTTAAGCTTAGAGATTCTCACGCAGGTCCCCACATCTGTACCCTAGAGTTCAGAGTGGGGAAGGAACCTTGACAGATGGTCTAGGTTTACTTGGTCCTGCCTCAGGCTGGAGGCTGGCCTTGACCTCTTGAGGTCCCTTGCAGCCCAACATTTCTATGATTGTTAACCCAACCTTTAACCGATTTATAACTAAACTGAAATTCTTTGGAATAACTTTGATAACATAAGTAGTAATGCATTTTATTCCAATGTGACACTTTTTCAGAACTTTATTCCTTGCCCTACAAATCTGCACACTCAGTTGGCACTTTCAAAACAACAAGAAATAACTGGATTCCGAGGGACAGGCTCAACTGCATATGAAGAAAAGTTATAGCTCTCACAGAGATGTCTGATACACCTCCCCATGTATATACTAAAATAATTTTAACTCCATTTCAGTACACCATGGTAGTGACCTGAATGGGCCTTCTTTATAGCAAAAACGGAGATCTAAGATGAATTTGTACAAAACTATCTCAATTCACTTCTGAAAGACAATGTAGTTTGCTTCCTGTGCAAGAGAAAATAAAAATACGCTACATTTAACCTGTTTAAAACTATCCATTGCAACAGGAAAAAACCTTGCAGGATATTTCAGGATATTCAAATGTGTTATATTTAACTTGAACTATCGTTTTAAATCACCTATTCAAAATTTGGTGATGGGAGAGAGGATTCCTTTGCGGATATCTGCTGTTTGAATTATAACCAGTAAAACATAAACCAGTCTAAATTTATCTTTAATCTTTTGTGATACCTTAATTTACATGTACTTCACATGGAATCCACATCATCCAAAAGGAAAAGCTGTCTCCAGCTCCTATCTGTCAAAACCCATTAAGGGAAGGGTTTTTCTTAGCCTGGAAGATTTGAGTCAGTCTTACAGCCCACAGTCAAGAACTGTTGTTTCTGAAGACAATACATTCCACTGAATTCTCTAGTAGTTGTATCTATTTGCAAATTCAAAATTAAAAAGGTGATGAAAGGTAAAAACAAGCAAGTTATTGAACAGGCTCTAATAATTTTTTTTCAGTGATTTATCTGCCCAGCTCTCTTTTTCCCTCTCTCTCCCACAGTGTTACAAACCAGTTGATGTATGAGAAAGTATTATTATGAAGCTGCTACCATCCCTAAAATTAAAGCTGAAACTGGTGTTTTTGCTACAGCCCTGATTTAAGGGGGAAGAGGGACAGTGCTGGTCTTGGCTGTTGAAACTACTGTGCTAGAAGTTGACATAAAATTTGTTCTTTTTAAACAAACTGTTTCAAGGGTTTTTTGTTGTTGTTGGAGAAAAATGCGAGTTAGTTTTAGATTCCTGTGTGTCAAATTCTAGCCCAAACATTCTGCTTAAAAATAAAATCAAAATAAACTTGGCAAGTGTTAGATTCTAGCACTTCTAGTTTGTGTGTACTGAATTTATTATAATAAATAGAAATTGCCAGGATATTAAGGTTTTGAAAAAGTAGCTAGTGAGTATGAACAACAACGATATCTAATTTCACTATCACCAGATGGGACTTCATGTAATCTGCACTATCCCACAATATCACCCCACACCATCAAGGTGAAGGCTTGTCAAGTGCAAGTCTATAGAAATGATGCTAACAAATGCATGGAAGGGAAAATACTACCACCAAAGAAGGAAATTTGACAAAAAAACGCACACACAATATCATGTGTTTATAACAACACTTCAGTTGAGACAAGCCAGCAAGTTACAACAGCACATATTGACATTCTAAGCACAGGGATCGGCAACCTTTGGCACGCGGCTCGCCAGGGTGGGCCAGGCCAGTTTGTTTACCTGCTGCGTCTGCAGGTTCGGCCAATCGCAGCTCCCACTGGCCATGGTTCACCGCTCCAGGCCAATGGGGGCTGCGGGAAGCGGCGCGGGCCGAGGGATGTGCTGGCCGCGGCTTCCCACAGCCCCCATTGGCCTGGAGCGGCGAACCGCCGCTAGTGGGAGCTGCGATCGGCCGAACCTGTGGAAGCGGCAGGTAAACAAACTGGCCCGGCCCACCCTGGCGAGCCGCGTAACAAAGGTTGCCGATCCCTGTTCTAGCAGCTGTCTGAACACCAAGCAATCTTTAATGAAATTATGTATTAAATGATAATTAAGTGCAACAGGATAGCGGTAGTCCTGGAACAGAATTTCCTTGCTTTTACTGGGTGGTGTATTACTTCAAAAAAATTTGTTCCTAATTATTCAGCCTATTAGGCCAACACTTTTGATCCTAAAGATAACATTGCCTCTTGTGCCTTGAAGCACCAAAGCCTAATAGGTCCCCCACAGCAGTCTATGTTGCATTCAAAAGTAGTTTAGTGCACTAGGAAGTGAGGTTTGAGATTCCAGCTCAGTCCCTCACCTTGGGGCCAGGAGCACTAAACAGGGTGTGCAGACCACTTCAAATTGTTCTTCAGCAACTCCTCTGGCTGAGTTGGAGGACCCATTGTTGAATAACTCCAGAGGAACAATAAGCAAGACACTGGGACTTTTAAAAGTGGAGAAAACAGGAGAGAGGTCTTCTGCATTCCATAAAAGACTCAGAAGAGCACCAGGGGAAAAACAGAACACAAATCTAAGTCAGGTGAAATTCCTTTTCTCCTTAAGCACAACAAACCATCTTTCTGTTTTCCAACTACTTCAAATGCTCCTACTTACCAAGGTGTGCCGTTTCATGTGCTCCCTGCGTGTGAATTTTTTCCCACAGATTTCACAAGGATAGGGTCTTTCTCCTGTATGGGATCGCATGTGTCTCTTCAGGATACACTGATGCATGGCTGAGAAACTGCAGTATGGGCACTTGAATTTTTTTCTGATGACTGTGAATTCGTTTACTGAAAAAGAGCAACCCAAGAAAGCAGGTTACAACTTAAAACATTTCAAATGATCCATTTTCTTGCTTAATTTTCATTAATGTTTTTGCTGTCGGACCACATTCCCACTGTTTTACGCTCCGCATAAGGAAAACATTTAACAAGTTCAATTATGTTACACTGTCTTTCTAATGTCTGCCTTATTAAGCGGCAGATTTTAACTAGGGTACTTATACTGTGTCAACACAGCTGGGAACTTCAAGTATCTTCCCCAGAGAAACTTGTTGATAAGACAGTACACCAGGCTGTCAAATATTTAGCAACAGCAAAAGAATGACCCAATTTCCTTAATGTCTGTTAAAGTACAAAACAAAAGGGGACTATAATCTGCTATAATGCTAAATTATTTTCAGGAATTAGTTGGCCAACAGAGAGAGATCTGAAATTCAAGCATAGTTCTAGTTAGTGACAATGCCCTGATGTACTGAAACAGCGACATGCAGAATCAGGTCAGAAATAACTAGCTGTGAAGAGAGGATCACAAATGTGACACGTTGATAGCAGTATGTAGAATTTCTCTTTAAACCCCTAAGTAAAACAAATGAGTGAAATGCAGTTTATAATAAACCACGTACCATGGCAGTATTTCCATTAATGTTCAAAGATTGAGGGGCATCTGAACAAATATAGAGTTCACCATGCAAGCATTTAACAGTAACCATCTTTAAAGTAGTATTACTATTGCTGCAAGTATAGAGAGTAACAAAAAGCTGATACAAAATGTTGAATTAAAGCGCAGTTCTTGAAAGAGTGTTCACAGTCCAAATTGTATAATCTTTGCTAGATTAATTTTCTTATCACATTCTCCGGAATGATTTGGAAGAGAATGAATTTTTATAAGTTATTCCTGTGCTGTCAATATTTCTCCTTTTGCCATCCTTTTAGAGGTAAAGTGCACTCAAACTGGACTCCAGGGATACATACAGTATTGACAGCCTAAGGGTCTAATTTGCCAGCAGAGTGCACATAGAAGCTGTGTTGATGTTTCCCCCTCCAAATAAAAATGAAAGTGGAACATGCAAAACAAAGCAGGGGAAAACAGAAGATCTGATATTCCTTAATGGAACCCACCCATTATACATTTGGAGGTCATTGTCCTTGTGCATGTAGTGTTTGATATCTTCTCATTAATAATTTTCTTGGTTGCCATTACTATATGTTAAACATTACCCACTTCAATGATCATCTTTGCCCAAAGCAGTTTTACTGCTAGTAAGGACCTGGATTCTTAATCTTAAGGATACTGGTTTGCATTCAATAAAAGCAAATTCTAGTTGACATCTTAAACCTCGGTGGGCTTAAATATGCTATTGTTCTAGGTAGATGGCAAACCAGCGTTGTGTTTTCAAACGAAGCACTGCATGTAGGAGAGTGAAGGAAACAAGGGAAGTCTAGTGTCTATTATGGTCTTATGTCATTGAAGGTACTGAGTTAAATGATAAGCTGCTTACTCAAATATTACATCCTGCAAAGATCCCACTAGCTAAGTCAACATTGAGCGCTCTCAGCATCTCAGACTCACGCCCTTCAAGTGCAATTGTACTCTGAAAAATGAACTATTTTAAAATGACATCTTTTTACTTAGCAGGCCTGTTTCATCGGCTTACTCTGGTGACCAGTTATTTTTAAAAATTTACTTTTATTTGCATTGCAGAGCAAACACAACGAGAGGGGGAACTAGGTTTGATTCCTCATGCAAACACAGTGCAGACAATCCCCTGACAAAAATGCCCCAGAATTGTGCTAGGGGTGCTGGGCTGCCACATGCCATTTTCCAGATAATGCACAAAAGTGGTCCTAACAAGAACTGGTTGGAACATTTTTGACTAAATATATTTTCATTGAAGTCTGTTGTTAAATTGAAGAGTCAATGTTTCAGAGACCTATCAGTTTTCTAAGATTTCTAAGGTCCAGGGCTTTCTGGTAATTTCTGACGAGAGAGAGATGCCCAAATTGAAAATCTGATCTTTTTGATAAGAAAAATGGACCTTTTAACCCAATTCCATTTTGTGGAAACATTTGGAAAATTTTGTTTTCGTTCTAACATGGAATGAAAGCAAATTTCAACAACTCAAATATTGCCATGAAACAGAATTGTCATCCTCTGGCTGGCTCTAGTCCTGACCACTTAGAGAGAAGATCCAAAGTATAGTTTCCTGCTCCAGCAAATGGGGCGGTTATTTTTAAATCTACCTCTAAATCTCCCCAAATCAGCACTTTGAACTTAACAGTCTTCATATCTTGTCCCAAACTGTTGCTCTGTTGTGTTCTATAGCTTGTGTGTTCCACCCTGAAGTTATTTAAAGCAGCCCTGGAAAACTGTCATGGAAATTTACTAGTCCAAGCATAAAACCTATTCACCCACCTGTACCACGGCGACTATAATGATAATAATGAAAAAAACAAAGACTATTTTATTCACTTGTCAGAAAAGATTACCCACTCCAGTCAAGTAGAATTTCCTAAGGTTAGTTTAAAGGGATTACAAACATGCATGCAAATTGCTTTGGGAACCTATGGGATGAAAGGTGCAAAATAAATGAAAAATATAACACCTGAGTTCCCGGCACCATTCATTCCCAATAAAGCATGTTCTAATATCCATTGCTCTGTGCCAGCTATTGTTGATAAAACAATAGCAACAGCTTGCTTGCATAGCCACTGTGCTATCAGTATTTAACTTCTTACTTGTAAAGCACTGTTGAAATAAACTAGAGAATGGAAAGGTATTCTAGTCTATTTTATTTTTCCAACTTGCCTGGGAGAACTTAAAGTAGATGAAAAATATTTTGCCTTTGTATCGTATCTAACACACTTCCCAGTCTATTTCTTTTATGAGCAATCTTTAGCACGTTTGAATATTGTGAAGGACAAAGATATTTATGATAATCTGTTACCAATTTGAACAAGGGATAAGATCTCTCAGCTGCTTGACCACTAACAATAGGTTATACAAACAAAACATTTGCACACCACAGGATCACCATAACCCAAATACTACAGAATCTAGACAAGGTAAGCAAGCTATAAGCAGATCAGGTAAGATCAGCCAAGGTCATCTAAGCCTCCCACAGCTCCAAGGCTATTTTCAGTATTGTTTAACAATTTAAACATAACATACATAACTCAATAAAATCCTTATGTCGTTCTCAGCTATCCAGCTCTGTTGGATTCCTTCAGAGGTGGTTATTTACAGGAATTAAACTAGTCACAGATGCAGTAAACAAGGCTCCTGCAGGGCCAAGTTTGTGAACAGGAGGTGTTCCTTCTCATGTACAGTTAACCAAATCAGTTTAAAAAAATGCTGACCTAGTATGGCATACTAATTCAAAACAAATTGGGTCCTTTCAATGAAAATGCCTCAAATTAACAGCAAATTTGTTACATTTTGGATTAGCTTTCACCATCACCTAAAAAAATGTCATTAATAAGTAATCTACTGGTGAAATACACTATAAATAAACGCAGGTCTTGATCCTCTTACTGATGGGGTGTAGGAAATTTTCCCCAGTGGGTGTGTGAAGGAGTGCTGAAGCTATCCATTTCTGCAGAATTTAAGATGTTCTTAAGAAAAATCAAGTGTAATCCTTGAAGCTGCAAAGAGAACCTTCTAAATGAGAACTGATACAGTACTGCCTTCCTGAGGACTTGTCTACATTATCTGCTGGATCGACGGGCAGCGATTGATCCAGCGGGGGTCGATTTATCGTGTCTAGTATAGACACGATAAATCGACCACTGAGCGCTCTCCTGTCGACTCCGGTACTCCACCGGAGCAAGAGGAGCAGGTGGAGTCAACGGGAGAGAGTCAGCAGTCTACTCACCGCAGTGAAGACATCGTAGTGAGTAGATCTAAGTACGTCGACTTCAGCTACATTATTCAAGTAGCTGAAGTTGCTCAACTTAGATCGACCCCCCAGTGTAGACCAGACCTGAGTCTGCAAAGACAGACAGTTCTAAGCGCCTTTGCTGCTGCTGCTGCTGGCATTTAAGAGTCAAGCTGACAAGACTATGGTTAGTTTCACTGTTGCTATTCAGAATCCTGCCAACAACAATGAAACTGTAAATCAGTTTCACACTGTCGACCAAGAAACCTCTTACCAGCAACAGAAATAGGTACTGGAGCTATTCAGAAGAGGTAACATAGAACAGAAATTGAAAGGCTGGAGTAAGTCACAACAACAGTACGGGGCTGTTTGGAATAGCAACTGAAGAAAAAAATTGCTGGTGTTTCAACTGCAGAACTTCACGTAGGCAGAATGTAGTTAACAGAGTTACAATTAGCCAGGATGCCACCTATACTTAGTGCCATGGGAGTACTCACAGAAATTAAGTGCCCCCAACACCATTCTGCGATACGGTTTCAATTCTGATTTGTAGATTACAAAGGCAAGAAAAGAAGGGAATACTGTGATCCTGTATAATTCAAACCATAGGACTTCCCTGAATTAATTCCCAAGTCAAATATTTTACCAAAATCTAAATATATTCCACCAACACTATTATAATCTTTATCAACCAAACTTGTAACCTCATTTAAAATAAAGATATCAAGTTTGACTGGATTTGTTTTCTGTTAACCAAAGTTGACTGGCATTAATTATATTACTCTTCTTTAACTCTTTATTAATCAAGTCCCATAACAGCTATTCCCTTAGTTTTCTGGGATAGACATCAAGCTGACAGGCCTATAGCTACCCATGTCATCCTGCTTATCCTTGAAAATACTGGCATCACATACATTTTCTTCCAGTGTTCCAGAAGTTCCCCAGTGTTCCAAGAATTATTTTAAAAAAACCAATGTGAATGGTTCAGCAAACTCAGAGGTAAGAATGCCACTTACTGTACACATTACTTCCGACAATACTAAGATGCCCCTTGGAGGGCTTCCCTCAACTTATTGTCCAGACAACATATGGTTTAAGCTTGTGAAGCTAAATAAATTACAGTGCAACGTTGCA